CGCCGCTTTTAGGGACATCTACGGTACGGTCCAAAAACACTTAACAAGTGTTTTAAAAGTTAGTATGTTCGTTACAAAGGGTTTCCAGTTCACAATGATCAGTTGTAAAAATCAACATTTTTTTTCCTCCATCACTAGTGTTTAATGAAACATAGTTTTGACACAAATAACATTCCTTATTATTTTAGAGAGTCTTAAGAGTTGGACAGGAATTCACAATCTTGCAAACGTAAGAATGAATTCCCTAAATATTTGCAAGATCTTGCCGTTTCTTGAAATCCCTTGAATTTTTACACAAACGATTGGCCAAACTGGAGTAAAAATTTAACAAACAGCAGTTTTCAGCATTAAAACTGAGAAAAACTTTTTTCAAACCCAAATCATATACTTGTAACTATGGTCCAGAGAACTAGTCTTAAGTTCTTTAAATACAGTTAACTAGTTTAGTCCAGTGGTTCCCAAAGGGGTCATAAGATGATTAAGAGGAGAGGAAAGGAAAAAAAACTGTTTTCATTTTTGGACATTGCCGTTTGTGTATGAGTCACTCTAGCCTTATTGACAGGTCACCATGGTAACAACTTGTTGATCACAGATAATCCTGCCCTGAAGCATACTCTACGTTATGGTCTATTTTCCTCTAAATGGGACATAATTTACTAAATGAACATCATGCTGTATCAAAGAAAACATGAAACTAGTGACAGAGACCATAAACTCATTATTATGAAAGTGCTTACTGAGGTAATAAATCAGGTGAGAAGTAGGGTCATTTTACCATTATTTCTAATGGAACAAGACTTCTTTTTGCAAACAGTAGAGTCGCCCCCTGTTCGCATCGCTTCTCAGACCGGAAGTTTCCCGCTTGGTCCAGATGCTGGAAGCTGCTCTAGGCAGCAGGTCTCTGGACCAGCTGAATTTTCAGTTGTAGTACTTCTCTGTCATTCTCTTTTATTAATAAATTCGGTTAAAACAGTTTGTTTTAACTTAATTATTTGACCATTTCCACGACAATAAACCCATTTCAAGTATTTTAGAGTATGAATATTACTTTAAGTTCTTTAAAGTGATACTATTTTTTTTACAGCTAACTTGCAATGACTTGGCATGATTCTTGAGACTGATTATTTATAAACAGATTTCACTTTGTGTTTAATGTCTTTCAGGCTATGCTCACTTTATCCGAGGACGACAGTACTGGAAATTCGATCCTGTTGACATGAACTCTTTGGAGGGCTACCCTCGCTACATCGGCATGGATTTTTTTGGCTGTAGAAATGTGTGAGTCTTTTAACTGCAGAGAACCAGATTAAGAGATTGTTTTGACAATGAAGAGGAGTTTTTGGAACAGAGACGTTTGTATGTTCATCCTGCAGATCCAAGGGGATGAGATGACCTCCTTTAAATCTGTTTATGCTTTACTCCATTTATTGCTACTCAGATCAATTACACATTCTTCTCAGGAAAACTAAGGTATGTTTCCTCAGACTTGGCACCTCCTGTGCAGCTATACTCATATTTATTTTGCACATTTTGTCACTATATGGCTGAGATCTGGGCCCTGTATTAATGATGTGTGATGCTGATGTGAACTGCACAGTTCTCACTTCCTGTCTTTGAGCCTGAAATTGAGATTTTCGACTGATTTTGGTTCACAGACGGAACCAATATAGATTATCTTGCTCCATGTAGTGGATGTTTTTCATTCCAACTGTTTTGTTTTTTTCATCATGGATGGAACTGCTGATCCTCATGTGTTTGAAGAGTGACATCAAACTTAAAGCTGCAGAAGGCAGATTTGTGTATTAGCTGCTGTAGATGGTAGCGAGGGTTAACTTTAGTTTTAATACTGTAACTTTAAACCTGAAGTCATTCAACATGATGTTTGTAAACAAAATGTTTAGCTATACTTTGCTCTTTGCCAACCTGACTCACACTGACCACAAATCAATACAAACAAAAGTCTTTTTAGTTGCTCTTTTGTTACAGAGTCTTGGAAATCTGTCAGAAAACCTGCTTAAATATTTTGTTGTCACACAGTTTGACTAACCACGATGGACTTGTGCTCTCAACTTGAAGTATTTGGGGTTTGCGATGAATGAATCTAGCCACAAACAAAGGTAGCAATTGCAACCTCCACAAGTCTCTACAACAGGCTCCAACTACCTAATTAGGAAGCACACAATATTCATTTTGCTGTGTTACTTTCAGACACTTTTGAGTCTGCCAATAAAAAGCAACGGGGGCAGGATTTTAACTGTTGTACGGGGAAAAAACAGCTATCTAGTCTGCCTAAACATCTAAACATGTTCTTTTCCATCATCTGTATGTTACAAAGGAGCTTTAGAGACAAGGAAGCAGAATGCAGAAGTTAACCAGTAGAAGCTTTTGTCACAGTGGTTCACATTAATAAAGAAATAGATGTGGTTTGGGTCTGCAGGTCCTGGTGAAGGAGGTGGGGAGGGGGGCATTACTCCTGCCTAGAAGGAGGACCTTTATCTACTTTCTTCTAAACATAAAGTTGCACTGGATAATGTTTTCACTCTAAGTAAAGGAATTAGTGATTGATGATGACATAATTAGTGATTTCCGAATTTAAGAGAAGGTTTTGTATTTATTTTTCATATTTGGACAAACTGAGCAAATGTAGTAGATTTCAAGTAGTAGAGATCGGATGCTTCTCTCTGCTGTTGTGATTTAGGCCGATAACATGTCTGACTTTTTACATTACATTTTTACTCAAGTAACTAGATGTTATTTTACCTAATTTTTTTCCTTGAAAGAATTCGTGCATTTCACACAATATTGAGCCTTAGTAAAAAAGAAATACAGAAAAGGTGATAATATCACTATATGTCGTGTTTTGATGTCGCTCTTCTAACACGATGGTGTGAGGCTCTTAGTTGTTGGTAATCACTCAACAGTCTGCAGGCCTCTGTGGCAGCAAAAAACTCCAGGGCGCCATCTAGAGTTCAACACTGTCACCCTTCAGGAGAAGTGTGATATTTCCTCAGAGAATGTGCTCATGTTTCATGATGAAGTCATTGCTTACTATAACACAACACAGTGCTCTATTCAGGTTGGTCAGTGAGACACATTCAGGGACAGCAGCTGCTGCATGGATCAGCGGTTCTCCAACTGGTCAGTTTTTCACTCCCCAAAAACAAACTACTGGCTTTAACTATTTTTGCTTCTCAGGCTGTTTTGCTAAATTACTAGACACTGCTTGTCTTTCACAAGAATTTAACACAACAGACTTCTGGATGGATGGCAGTGGTGGAAAGTAACATTTACCAGAACTCAAGTACGATTTGAGGTACTTGTACTTCAGTATTTACATTTTCTACTACTTTATACTTATACTCGAGTACATTCCAGAGACAAATATTTGTATTTACTTCATTACATTTATCATCTATAGTTATAGTTAGTTTTAAGACTAAAATTCTTCATTTAAAACTTTAATGTCTCCTTGCTGTGATCAGCTTCTCCATTGCCTTTATGCATTGCATTGTGGGAGAACAATGTCTAACAACAGCACATTTACAATTTGTAGTATTTAGTATGTATTCTATCTGTTTTTAGTGTAAACAAACTACAGACTCAAAACCTGCTTAGAAGTAGTATGTAGTCTGGATTCGGAACATAGTGTGAACCAGTGGTTTCCAACATTTTTAGCTCGTGACCTCTGATTAAAAAAAGCCTCTTGTTGTAATTCAGATGTCTAAGAGTTAAATGTCTCACACAAAGTCCTTACGTAAAACTAATATAAGTGCGTGTTCTCTTCTATTCTCATGAAACCTCTGATTTATGTTGTGACCTTTTGGAAGGCCTGAACCATAGGTTGGGAACCACTGCAAAAAATAATACTAGCTCCACCTGGAGCAGCTACAACAGCAAAATGCTTATGTAGGATTTTGAATTCAGGACTTTTACTTCTAATGAAGCATTTTTACAGTATTGTATTGGTAATTTTACTTAAATGATCTGAATACGTCTTCCACCACTACTGGATAGTGAAAGAATCTCCCTGACCCGAAAAAACTCACATGACACCTCTTTGTGGATCAGGACACCAGGTTGAGAACCGCTGTGTCCCTGGTTGCAGCACTTGAAATGTGAAGGCTCAGTTGAACTGTCGTGTTCTTCAGATGTTCGTTTTTCAGTGCAGGACACTGGCGAGTCATTACAGTTTTCATCATTCAGACTTTGTTGTTTCTCATTTCAAGTGTTAATCAGTGAACTCTGACTGCTTTGAAAAAATATTTATACACAAACAACGTAGTAAAAGTTTGTTGTACATACGTCTTTGATTATAATTTTTTTTTTACTCATATGTACGTATACCCTGTACATTGAAATGTATGAAATGCGTATTGTGAACTTTCTAATAAAACCATAACCTTTTTACCAAACTCTGCTACCTCCGGAGAAATGAAATCTAAGGAAACTAGACTAAGACTAGTCATATTCTCACATGTTTTTTGTTGTTGTGCATGGTGAAATACATTTTTTATCCAAATGTCACTTTGATGATCAGCGTCAATCTTTGTGCTAAATGTAAGAAAATACGTATGTATGTACAAAAAAAAACTACCCAAAAAACAATTTTACTGAAAGACAAATAACCTCACTTTCCAGCCAAATCTGATTTACTTAACATTACTAATTAATGTCAATAATTAAAGTAATTAAACACAGTAATTTTTTTTGTGTATTAGACTTAGAAATAAAATTGTTGTGGTACTGTTTAGCAAGATGTTTTTACTGTTAAAATGCAATTTTAACCCCAAATCTTTGATAGACGGAATCTTCAATGATATAAGTGTGTATATATCTTTCAAAAAAGTTTTTAAAAATGTATATATATACATTAATTATATAAATATAAGGTTTACTCAGTTTGTGGGACGGATGGTGTTAATAGATAAGTGGTGCAGTGAGGGGGTGGGGCCTGTGCTGTTCATTCAGTGAGTAAATCATGGTTGACAGTGAGGCAGCAGCAATAGCGATGGCTCACAGCTTCACACAGGAGTATTTTCAGATCCCCGTGGTGACCCGAGCATACACGACCGCCTGTGTCCTCACCACCGCTGCCGTGGTAAGAAACAACAACCCTAACAATAAAGAGCACAACAGTTTTTAAAATCTGAAGCTTTGATGATACAGGAAACAGTTATTTAAACATAGTATGAAAACAATTCTAACTTTCTAACTTTGTTCTCTTAAAATTCACAGTCGAGCAGCTTATTTTAAGAAAGAATATACATATATGTATATTCTTTCTTAAATATCATAATAAGCTGATATATATATATATATATATATATATATATATATATATATATATTCAAAATTTTCGAATTTTCGAAACTTTTGAAAGTGTTAAGAGTTGGTAGAGTTAGTTGTAGCATTGATACAGTTGAAATGTTGGTTGACATGTGGCAGGTAAAAGTAGTTTAAGTGTTAGTTGAAGCTTAAAAAGTAGCTGAACTGTCGGTTGAAGAGATGAAAGCAGTTGAAGAGAAAGTGCTGAAAACAGTTGAACTGTTAGCTGAAGTGTTGCCACTGAGTTCAAAACTAATTTAAAGCGTATGGGATGAAAGCAGTTTAAAATCTCAGTTGAAGTGAAGCACTTTGGGTAGTTATGGTAAGTGCACGTCCAATTGATATGCAAGCATGGACATCAGTTGAAATGTACACTGAAGTGACAAGTAAAAGTAGTTGAACTGTAAGTTAAAGAGTAAAAGATAACATCAGCTAAAATGTACAGATTAAGCTTAAGGTCTGAACACACACTTTAGCTGTTAGTTTAAGTATAGGCATGATCACTGAACTCATATAAAGAGTGTGAGATGAAAGAAGTTAAACTGTCTTTTTTTTTAAAACAGAAATTTTAGTTAACATAGAAGCATTGAAGATAGCGGTAGTCTGTGTACTTAAATTTGCAAACACTGGCAGCAGTTGTAATGTCTGACGTGTAATGGTGTGAGATTTCTGTTGTAGAGTAAACTATGAAAGTTGTTGAAGAGTAAAAGATGAAGGCAGTTGATATGTCAGGTTAAAACTGAAAGTGAACTCTGAAAGTAAACTGTCAGTTTAAGAGTAGCAAATGCAAAAAGCAGAATATTTAGTTGAGATAAAAGCAATGACAGCAGTTGAAATGTTTATTATGTGTCTCACCAAATGGATACACATTATATCTGGCAATGCAACACTTTACTTTAGGTCCCCCTATTTAGCATTTTTAAGCAGTACTATAAACATTTAACAAATGTGTTATCAATGCAATAAATTAAATATCCCAAAAAACTCATTACTGTCTATATGTCTTTATATCTAACTTGCTAATTATTCTCAAGCTGTGTGTTATGTTTTAGCAACTTGAAGTCATCACCCCCTTTCAGCTCTACTTTAATCCATACCTCATCATCACAAGATACCAGGTAACATTTATCAACTCTTTAATAGATTTAAAACATGGCCATTGGTGAGTCATCATAATTACACTGTTTATCTCTTACTCTCAGATATGGCGCCTGATTACCAGCTTCCTCTTCTTTGGTTCTCTTGGATTCAGTTTCGTGTTCAACATCATCTTTCTGTATCTTTTATCACAGTGTTTCCTCGGGTAAAAACAGAATATTTCAGTTCATCCATAAAACACTACTAAAAATTGTAACAGCAGCATAATAAGCATTATCACTGGGGGAAACAGTCCTTAACTAAAGTAAGTTATCGATACTGTCGGATGCTGGAGGAAGGCTGTTTCCGGGGAAGAACGGCTGATTTTGTTTTCATGTTCCTGTTTGGAGGAATCATGATGACTGTATCCTTTTAGATACCTAGCAAAAGAACAAAGTGTAAAGTTTTACTACAGTGATGCTTAAACTACCGCTGTTATGACATACTTAATTCCTTAAAAGGTCAGTTTACACAAATGACAACAAAACGTCTTCTCACTTAGATCACATTTTAAACCAAATGCAATTTAGTATTTTAAAGTTATTGAAAAGACGAAAGATAGCCTGTATGTGAAGATGAATGACAGCATGAACAATAGGGTGGTAAAGAAAGAAAAACAGATGGAAATGCCCATTGCTACTTCATGAAGACTGAAAACTTCAAAGATCGATTATCAAAACAGTTGCAATGATTATTTTTCAGCCTGTTGACTTAGTGATTAGCTGACTAATTGTTTCAGTTCTACTCTAGTCCACAGTGAGGTCTGTGGATTATTCAGAATATTCCAGACATTATTTGTAATTTGTAAATGTAATTTTTCAGTAAACCTTCTATCTATCTAAGGGCAATAAAATAATTGCCGCTATATAAATTGAACTTAAATTAATTGCATTGTGGCAGAGATGGAAATCTCAGATACAAAGCCAAATAATCAAAACCAAGTGGCAATACAAAAAAGGTAATCTGTGCCCATCCCAGAGGGGTGACAGAAATCTAAGAAAAGCTATCTCAAAATTTGAACAAATAACTACACTATATTGCCAAAGGTTTTGGGACACCCCTCCAAATCATGTGTTTCAGTCACTTCAGTGCCCACAGGTCTATAAAATCAAGCACCTAGTCATGCAGACTGCTTCTACAAACATTTGTGAAAGAATGGGTCGCTCTCAGGAACTCAGTGAATTAAAGCGTGGTACTGTGAGAGGTTGCCATCTGTGCAATGAGTCCATTCTTGAAATTTCCTCACTACTAAATATTCCACAGTCAACTGTTAGTGTTATTATAACAAAGTGGAAGAGATTGGGAACAACAGAAACTCAGCCACAAAGTGGTAGGCCACATAAAATCACAGAGCGGGGTCAACACCTGCTGAGGCCAGAAGTGGGCAACCTTCTGCAGAGTCAATATCTACAGGCCTCTAAACGTAAGAACAATGCACAGAGAGCTTCAGGGAATGGGTTTCCATGGCCAAGCAGCTGCATCCAAGCCTTACATCACTAAGTGCAATGCAAAGCATCGTGTCCAGTGGTGTAAAGCACGCCGCCACTGGACTCTAGAGCAGTGGAGACGTGTTCTCTGGAGTGATAAATCACTCTTCTCTGTCTGGCAATCTGATGGACGAGTCTGGGTTTGGCGGTTGCCAGGAGAACGGTACTTGCCTGACTGCATTGCCAAGGTTAAAGTTTAATGGAGGGGGGATTGTGGTGTGGGGTTGTTTTTCAGGAGTTGGACTTGACCCCTTAGTTCCAGTGAAAGGAACTGTTAATGCTTCAGCATACCAAGAGATTTTGGACAATTTCATGGGATGTCATTAACCTTCATGTGCATGTAAAGGCCCAACACTTTTGGCAATATAGTGGCTGTGCATGGTTAGACACAACAAGAGTAAATGGATTAAATATGTTTTTTTATAAATTGGGTGAACTGACCCAAATAGGTTTTAGTCCCTTAAGAGTTGGCAGTTTTCAGGTCAGTTTGATTTATTAGTATTACAGGTGCTGGTCATATAATTAGAATATCATCAAAAAGTTGATTTATTTCAGTAATTCCATTCAAAAGTGAAACTTGGATATTATATTCATTCATTACACACAGACTGATATATTTCAAATGTTTTTTTCATTTAATTGTGATGATTAAAACTGACAACTAATGAAAACCCCAAATTCAGTATCTGCAAAAATTTGAATATTACTTAAGACCAATACAAAAAAGGATTTTTAGAAATGTTGGCCAACTGAAAAGTATGAACATGAAAAGTATGAGCATGTACAGCACTCAATACTTAGTTGGGTCTCCTTTTGCCTGAATTGAAAATGAAACCCATGTCTTGCATACGTCTGTGTGTGGTGGTTCTTAAAGCACTGACTCCAGCTGCAGTCCACTCTTTGTGAATCTCCCCCACATTTTTTAATGGGTTTTGTTTCACAATCCTCTCCAGGGTGCGGTTATCCCTATTGCTTGTACACTTTTTTCTACCACATCTTTTCCTTCCCTTCGCCTCTCTATTAATGTGCTTGGACAAGAGCTCTGTGAACAGCCAGCCTCTTTAGCAATGACCTTTTGTGTCTTGCCCTCCTTGTGCAAGGTGTCAATGGTCGTCTTTTGGACAGCTGTCAAGTCAGCAGTCTCCCCATGATTGTGTAGCCTACAGAACTAGACTGAGAGACCATTTAAAGGCCTTTGCAGGTGTTTTGAGTTAATTAGCTGATTAGAGTGTGGCACCAGGTGTCTTCAATATTGAACCTTTTCACAATATTCTAATTTTCTGAGATACTGATTTTGGGGTTTTCATTAGTTGTCAGTTATAATCATCAAAATTAAAAGGAATGAACACTTGAAATATATCAGTCTGTGTGGAATGAATGTATACATTATACAAGTTTCACTTTTTGAATGGAATTACTGAAATAAATCAACTTTTTGATGATATTCTAATTATATGACCAGCACCTGTATGTGTGTTCTCTTGTATGCTGAAGGGTAGTTGTTTCAGTAAGACACCTAAATAAGGATGGTAGCTAAAAGCTACTGTACATGCAGCCGGTTTTTCTTTGATGATGCTCAGCAGTTTGTAGCCAGAAGCACCCACATTCCAGGTTAATGATACAGTCGTGAGTATGTTTAGCACAGACTTCCTTCTGGGCTGTTGTAAAACAGTCAATGTGCAGCTTCATGGGATTTCATGGGCTGTTTTAAATGGAGGTCTATGAGGATGAATTCTGCTGTATTATCAGGATAGTACAGTGTCGAGTGTGTTATCAGAACAGTAACATGCTTAGCTTAGCATTCGGTAATAACACCAGCTGTGACAAGATGTCTGCCGATATTGGAGAGAAATTTGTCTTATATAAATATTTCAGTTAGTTTTAGGACTTAGATCAAACAAATCCTCATATCATCAAGTACTGAGTGATTAATGTCCAGTACTTTACAAATTGATTTTTTTTTTTCTGAATATAATGGACAACATATAGTTTAGTTTATAAACAATAAATATTTGTTTTTAAAAGTCATGGCCCGTCAAAATTATGAGTCAACATTATCAGCAGTTGGTAAAAATGTACTTTTCTACTCAAAATGATGATCATACCTCAATAAACATATCATACCTTTGACGTAATTTGTCATAATTTTGCCTTAGTAAGTCAAAGACCTTAACAAGTCTCAAGTCAATATTGAAGTCCAACTTTAAGACAAAATGTTTGAAAATATTCTTAAGTCAGTTATGAGATAAGTCAAATTTAGTTCTTCAGTAAAATGATGTAATAGTAAGTCAGTATTTCTTCATTTTTATTTCCATTATCATCCATTAAGTCCATTATTTACTTACATTATCATCTCATAATTTTGATTGAGCAAGTAACATTTTGACTTATCTCATAATACTGACTTACTAACTAACTTACTATCATGATTATGGCTCATAATATTGACTGAACATTATTTCCCATTTTTTTATCAACTCCAAGTTTTAATAAATTGTTTTCCCCTTCCCGGCAAAATTAAGAGATAACAGACAAGATATATTATTTGCCGTTAATTTTGACCCGAGGTATTTCTATAAAGATAATATATAGCTTGCTGCCACTCCACCAACTCAGGTTTGACTTGAGAAGCTTTAATCTCCATTCAAAACAGACAGTCTCAGCTGTTGTTTTTAACCTGAAGGCCTGCAGCTGTTCGGTCTGTTTGCCAACGTCTTCTTCCTGGGTCAAGCCTTCATCATCATGCTGGTGTATGTTTGGAGTAGAAGACATCCGCTCATACGCATGAACTTCTTTGGGCTCCTGAACTTCCAGGCACCATTTCTCCCCTGGGTGCTCATGGGATTTTCGCTGCTGCTCGGAAACTCCATCGTGGTCGACCTGCTAGGTAAAAAACAAACATTTCACCAAAAAACCAACAACATCTGATATAGCCAGACCTATAGCTACACGGGCCAAAATTGTATTATCAGACACTTAGAAGTTCAAAATGGATCCTTATTCCAATTTAAAGTATCAGAAAGATAGATGGCAGACCATGACACTTACCTTTTACTCACTTGTGACACTGTTCGGCCATTCAGAAAGGATAAGACTGGTATCATTTTATGTTTTCCGTGAAAAGATCACAACCAAAAATGTGTTTGTCCGTCTCTCAATACTTTCTGGATTCCTGTCGGTGGCCCTCTGCTCCAAGCTTATTAGTTCCTACTGAAGGCGTAAGTCTTTAAAAGCAGCTCACAAATATATAGTTTCAGTTTAAAAAAAAAAAGATTTGAGTAATTTCCTAACACAGCTGGTCACTGTAGTTTTTAACAAACAAAGAGATGGGAAAAGTGCATCTGTTGGGGACTATTTTCAGTGGTTGAGTCACATAAACTACAGTGTGTGTGTGTGTGTTTGTGGTAATGAAGGAAAATGTCCCCCAGTGCTCCCTTTTAATAGTTTTTGGACAGCAATGTAGCTCTATGGTCCACAGGAAGAAGATCAGGCATTGATACACACACAGTGCTTGTTAGTAGATACATTCATTTCTGGTTTGACACTGCACATTTGTTGATGAGAAAAAAATAGAATGTCACCAGACATTCTCTTTAATCATGAACCACATGTTATAATGATGTAGATGCACAGAAATTATCTTGTAAAGTCATCCAGCTGTTACTTCCCTCCTCAGGTATCAGTGTCGGACACATGTATTATTTCCTGGAAGACGTGTTTCCAAACCAGCCGGGAGGAAGAAAGCTGCTGATGACACCAGAACTTCTGTAAGAACCAGAATTTATCTTTACTAGAGTCTAACACAAGCTTTAGCTTTTAGTCATTTAGAGAGAGACGACTGGCAGATGTACTGAACCTCAATACTTTCCCAGAACTGAGAGACTGAGTGTGAAAAACTAGACTGTACTGATTTGTCATCAAATGCCTCGGATACATAGTCGTGTTTCTTTAATCTCTTAAAATAGGAACTGTGTTTCAGACATCTCCAGATTTAAATACATTTAGTTCAAATTGTATGTAAACTTTACACTTTACATTATTGCTATTGCTATTATTTTCTGTATTAAGACATTAAATACTTCTGGTTTGGAGTTAAAATCATCTCCATATTCTGCAAATGAATCAATAAAAGTATTGTATTGCGACCCATTGTCGGTTAAAAGGTGAGGATGCCAACCACGAACCATTTCATCTCGATTCCTGTTACCTCTCCATTAACGCTATCTAATAAAAAGGCATAAAACGCTTTAAAAGTTTAGGTTGAAATGTGCATACAATATACAAAAGAAAACACATTCGCTAATGTACAATGCACATGCCACAAAATCTAGACACCAATGCTAATGGTAAAACATTAGACTATAGCAGTAAGTAACAATAATTAACAGGAGCAGTCTGTTGTAAGGTGAATAAGAGCATTCTTAAATTAACCTAGATACTGCAAAGATGTCAAGAAAGTTGGTAGATTGTTCCAGTCTCTAGGAGCCTAAACCCTAAATGCCTTTTTTCCCATTTCAAGTGTAGCTTTTGGAACATGATAAAAAAAAGATTGTTATTGCTTCTAAGAGAATAAATATGATTAGCATTATGCAGAATGAAAACCTCTTGTAAATAAATAGGATATTTAAAATTAAGTTATTTGAAAAGAAACTGGTACCAGTTGTTTGTCTTTTTACAGAGAATATTCTGTTCCAGGGGGATGGAAAAGAGGGTTTTTGTAAATGTTCAAAATGAGCAAATGGATCACAAGTATGGCATTGGTTTTGATTTCTGAAATGTCAAAATAAAGGCAAGAGGAAATAGTCTCAATTTTGCAATCTGCAGCTATTGCAAAGTTGGTGAAAATGACCTCTGTACATGGCCAAAAGTTGGTTCAATCGGAGCATATCCTGATGAAGTTCTGTTTTTGGCTGTAAATACAGCACCCAGATATATTATTATAAAGAAAATTACTGTCTAGGAAATGCAAATCATGATGTGGCCCTGTTCTCTCCTTACAGGCGGGCCATGTTTGACCGGCCAGAAGACCCAGACTACCTTCCCCTACAAGAAGAGCAGGGTGGAGATCTGCAGCAATATGAGGAGCCGCACAACTAATTGCTCTAAGATTCCAGAAATCAGGAGAAACCAGCTGTCAGAAACACAGACAGGCAGTCAGGATATGATTTGTGGAGCCATGAGTCCTTTCACAGTTAAGATAGACTTAAAGTCAGCATCATGAAAGTGTTTTTTTTTGCCCAAACATTTTGGAGTTCACATTCACACTAAGCATGTTTAGTTTAACTACTAGTTGTTCATTTGTAATAGTAGCACAGAGATGGCTGAAAAAAGTCTCAGTTCTCGACTAAGTTCTCGACTAAGTAGACTGAGCTCCAGTTTCTTTAGGACAGAACAAGAAATGAGAAATAACCCAAAATTCAAAGGATTATGGGCAGAATGAAGACAGACGCTTGCTGTTCTTGGAAAGCGGCGCAGCCCTGTGGAGTATTTGACCACCACTCAGAGCAGTGTTTTTATGAGTGGGTCCCTGTTTTGTTGGTATTACGCACAAGCACGCGAGCGACATGACACAGTGCGCCAACAAAGGAAGTGAAGAAGAACACCGCCAGCAAGTAAAGGCAGATGTAAACAGTACTGGATTTAAAAAACACCTCTGCAAATGTTTTATGATGAAGAAAAAGTACTTAGCACATTTGTTAGACCTTGTTAGAACACACAATGAGCTCTGGTCAGTAACGCTGACTGTAAACAGAAACTTTGTTTCAACAGGGCACCTTTAAAAGTCCACTTACTAGAATTTTTTTTTAAACTTTCAACCGTATCTCATGGTCTTCATCCAGGCTGAACACATGACCTAATGTTCGCTATATAATAACAGGTGATCGTATAAGAAGGTAAATTGTAACCCCTACTTCTGAAGACTGTGAAACACATGGGATAAAAAGCCACTAAGCGAACATTTGAGTGGAGGTTTTTCTGTCACATGTTCTGTTTTAGGTCAGAAATGATGTTAAAGACCACAAGCAAGTTTATAAAAGTTGCAAGAACTGGAACCAAATTTGCATTGATGCCCCAAAACGTGATAAGAATCCCAAACCTGCCGAGAAGACAGACACTGATTCACTTGACTCTCAGCAAACATACACAAATCCCAAGAAAACACACTTCAACTGTGTAAAATAAGTAGGAACAGTTACAGAGTGCCATTTAGTTTTATACTTTGACATCTAATTTCTGATGCCAGCTTGGCTTTTCTAGTGTAATTGTAACCCGATATGCAAATGTGGTATTTGTACGTTGCTTAGGAAGAGCTGAAAGGAGCAGGACTAACCAATAACTCCCTTCCATGCTGTTGTGTCACTGATGCTGGTTCACAGAACTGCCAACGGCCTAAAATCCCGTCAGCGCCGTCTGCACACTCTGCACTTTCACTCGCTGCCTTTGTGGGTCATACACTGGGGACAAAATGGAAATTGCTTAGCACAACAACACGCAAACACGTCTCTGTGGGACCCCAACAACAAAACACATACTTTAAAACTCATCTCTTATAAACACAGCACTGCTGAGAAATATTAGTCACAACTGGGGCTACACTAATGTGGCTTTGAAGGGAAATGTCAAGAAACCAATTCTGTTTTCAGAGAGTTAGATTTTTCTTGTCAGGGTGGAAAAGTGACTACAGGAATATTTATAGTAGGATTATTATGCTACTAAATATGAGAAAATTTTGAGCTATAAATTAGCTTTTACATGAAGAATGAATTCACAAAAACGTAAAACTAGGTCTGAATGATTCAAGGCAAATATCTAATACCAATATTTATTTTCTATAGAATAAATTATTAAAGCCATTTAATATTTAAAGTGAACAAGATTGTACCAAGCAAAATTAAACTGAAGGTGCTCGTTTTCTTAAACTTGTCAGGGAAGTCAACTCAAGTAAACTTGGCGAATGACCGATTTAACTCACATTATTAAGAAATTACATTGCATATTTGGCAAGTCTATTCTGTCTGATATTTTACGCTTGACAACTACAGAGCTTCCGGTCTGAAACTAATGCGAGTGATTTAGATTTATGTAAACACAAGACTACACATCTATAGCCATGCCAGCTGTGCCTTTTAGCTTACATTAACACTGGCATGCTAACATGTTTTTGCTAAGCAGGTGTAATGTTCACCATCTTAATTTAGCATACTAACATTTGCTAACAAAAGTGTAGCTGAGGCTGATGGGAATTGACGGCGCTAGGGGCTAAAAGAAAATTCAGAGAATCACCAAAGTTATTAAAATTTGTCTTGAGGGGAACATGAATGTCTGTGCCAAATTTCATTACAACCTGTCCGATAGTTGTTGAGACATTTAACCATGAATGTCAACCTCATGGTGGCACTACAAGGAAAATGTCAGGGGAATTCCAAAGTTAGTATGATTAATTATGATTAATCCTCTGGGGAACATGAGTCTGTGGAAGAATTTCATGGCAATTAATTTTAAAGTTGATGATTTTCATCTATTTATGCAAACACCATTTTCAATAACATCAGTAAACTCATACATCAGTCTAACCCTAGTTGAAACTTTATTCAGTAATTTTTTTCTAAATGATTCACAACATAACCAGACAGCAAATCAAGCGTTTAAATGTTTTTTTATTTTGTAAGAATTATTAAAATGTACAAAAAGACAACAAATACAACAAAACAATATATTATCTGAGATTGGCTGTGTGTTTTTTTTCTCCCCGTGTGGTCAGGTAAAGAGAGTCAGTGGTCAAAGTGAGAGAGCAGCTTCTCCGCGCCGCGGGCCGTACAGGAAACACGAGGGAGAGACATTTTCTACCGGGGGCTTTGCCAAACAGAACACATATTAACAGTAATAATAAAAATAAAAAAATAACACGGTGAACGGCTGACTGAGAACCCGGTCGAGCAGAAAAAGACATCCAGCGGGATGGAGGGACATCTTTGTTGGTGATGGTGCAAACCGTGACAGCATCAAACCTCAATCAGACGAGCACCATTCCTGCAGGGGGCGCCAACGCTGCTCCTTCTACCATGCAGGTGCCGTGTTTGCCAGTCGCCTCATTCGCCTGTGGAGCAAATGGGAACAGAGCCTCAACAACTCAGAAAAAACTCAGAAAAAAGTGACAAAGTAAACTCATTTACTGTAATTTCCTCTTGTAAGACAGACCATTACAAAACTATTTTATTACTATTGTGACTATGGCTACAACTAATAATTGTTTTCATGGTTGATTAATCCATATTAATTAACGGTTTCATCTATAAAAATGGCTGAAATATTTAAAGTGTCCAAAGTCCCCGAAGTTTAAGGAGACGTCCTCAGATCAGGGCTGCAACAAAGGCTTATTTTCATCATTGACATCTTCATATTGTTTCTTATGTTATATATACTAAATTCATAAGGACATAAAAACAGTGAAAAGCTGCAATCTCTCATATTTGACAAGGGAACCATCCATTTTTGGCATTTCAGCTGATTAACGATGCTACCTATGAATGCCTAACTATGAAATTATTGACATTTAACTATTAATTCAGTTCCATATTATTTATATAGCGCCAATTCACAACAACAGTTATCTCATTGCGCTTTTAATAAAGAGCAGGTCTACACTTTACTCTTTGTGATATTATTTACAGACAACAATTGCTGTGTTTACAGTTTTTGTTGATTGGGAATGCTTTATTTTATATGTCTGCGATTTCTTAATAATTTCCTGGAATGTTTCCTAGAAAGTAATTTGGAACTAAATGGTGACTACAACAACAATGGTCAGTCAATTAATCGATTAGACAGTCGACAGAAAAAGTCATTTTTGCCAAATGCCAAAAGCGTTTGGTTCACTATTTTCTGATAATTAACAGACAAAAGTATTCATTGATTAATAAAGAAAATAATTAAATCAATCCATAATCTATAAAATGACTAATGAAAATAAGCCACTGGACACATATCACCTGGTTTCTGCTATACAATTAATACAGGCCTTGCAGCTGCACCATATTTATTACTTTTATTTTCTTAACATTTATTTAACCAGATAAAAGTCACAATGAGATTATTTTGAAGACATAAAAACAGTACTGATGAAGCAAACTGATGACGACCAAAATCAGTCGGCTCTGTCATGGAGCTCTGCCAAACATCCAGTTGACACTCACCTTGTGTTTCTGTCCTGATCTCTGATCTTCTTCTCCATCTCCGCATCTGTCAGGGTCTCCAGCAGGGGGCACCACTGGTCAGCGTCACCTGTGTTTCTAATGGCAATCTCCACTGTGGGCAGAGGGTTCTCACTGCAAAACACCAAGAACAAGGAACAAACACTTCAGTCTGATTCGGTTTACTTGACAGCAGCATTCGATGGCTGTTGATGATCAATTTGACTTTTCTTTGACCTACTCAAACATCCGATCATTCACTGTCATGAAATAAGCAGGAAAATAAATAAACTATTTTTGCATCTCCAGATGTCCAACTGTGATAGAGGTCAACACTGCTGTCTGGGTTTTCAATATTTTATTATTTCACCTCCTGGGAAGCTCAGACAGCAGACAGCAAACAAGACCTTACATTTAACCTCGTTCAACTTCAGTCTGGAACACAACACCCTTCAAAATGCCCTCAGAAGAGAGGTCACAGCCACATCGCCATGGCAACAACACATACAACAGGAGATGTAACAGGACACACTGTTTCTGCAACTCCCTTAAAATTTCAAAATCAGGAAATGGTCAAATTCCCTTTTGCGATTTGTGCAGACGAACACATCAGATCTGTGTGGAGCAATGAAGAGACTGTATGAAACATCAGGCTTTACACACAGAAAAATTCACAGTGGATCGAAACTTGCATTAATTTGCATATTAGTTTGCCAGTTTTCTGGAAATTTGGTCAAAATCTTGGATGGAAACTTGGCTAGCGACTGTCCATTAACTATTTCAGGTACAAAAAACACAGACTACTTCTTGTAGATTGTGTTTGCCAATAAATCTTAAAGCTCTACTTAGATGTCAAGGAAATGGGCTTGGTGGGTGAGGCTGGATTCTGGTGCTGCATGCCCTTCATTCAAAAAAAAGGGCAGGCAGGATACAAAATGCAAAAGCAAACACACTTTCAATCACACATTTTGCTCAGAGTTTGTGAGACCGTACCTGAAGGCATATGTCCTCTGGTGCCAGCTCAGCTGACCGCGGATGCTGTAGGCGATGGTGGTCACAAACTCCCCTCCCAGGCCAAGTTCAGAGCAAAGCTTGAGGGCGAACTTCTCCGGAGAGTTTTCCCTCTCAGACATATCCCACTCAAACTGGTCGA